TAACCCATTCTTGTGTTTGTTTTAAAACATATTTTATTAGTAAAAGTTAGCTTAAATATAATAATGATTTCTTTTAAAGTGATCAAACTATTTGTATAAAATGTAAATTTAATTTGTCCTTATATTTTAGTTTGTATATATTTTTTTTAAAAGCATCGATTATTTACATATAAATAATGTTTTTTTATTGCATCTCTCTTTGGCCGGGTTTGGGGGGGGGTACTTCCCCTAGGAACAAAGCAAGTGCTTCCAGGTTTTGGGGGCATTGTGCACAGCAACAAAACGAAAATATATTAGATTTTTAGAAATATCAAATTGTTATTTCAAATTTTTTATTTAAATTAAAGGAACAGTAGCAACTGCCTTTGACCAGCTAAAATTATTCAAACCAAAGAATGATTGGTCCGCTCGATAGATTTGATGTTCCGTATATTTCAGTCTAATCTTGATAGAGACTATAACCATTCGAATTTAAATAACGTTTCGTTTTGAAAATTGTTCACTCCTTATTCGAAGCCGAAGTCTTACTGTTTGTTGTTAGCATATATCGGCATTTTTATTATAATTTTTTTTTCAAATTCGCTATTTAAAAAAAAAAATTACACTGTCTTAAGCTATATTGACATAAATATAAATTAATATAATTTTAAAATAGTTCATGTTAAGTATAAAAAAAACAAATTTTGTTTTACAATTATCTTTCATCTTAAAGGCATGAGTTTTAAAGTAGGAACGGGTAGTTTGTATAAATTGTATGATGTAATTTTGCTTTAAAAATAATATAGTAATAAGCTTAATTTTTTAATGTACTACCTTAACCTATGTTGAGCAAAATTTAAAAAAAAGGTATTAAAAAAAGTAATATATATATACATATTTTTTTTGAAAAAAAAAAAAAAAAGAATTTGTCATATGTAATTTTGCTTTAAAAAAAATATAGTAAAAAGCTTAATTTTTTAATGTACTACCTTAACCTATGTTGAACAAAATTAAAAAAAAAGGTATTAAAAAAAGTAATATATATATACATATTTTTTTTGAAAAAAAAAAAAAAAAGAATTTGTCATGCTCATAAAAATAGTGCATTTGTCACGAATAAACAATCTTCCCCAGCTATGTGCCAATATTTTTTTACATTTATTCTTTAAATTCCAAAATGCAATTTAAAGATTAAAAAAGCTCACAAAATCTTTTGATTATCATGCTAATTTTATTTAATTGCTAGTTTTAGACCAAAAATTAAATTAGAACTCTTAACTTAAAAATGGAATCTAAGGATTTCTTTTTTAAAAATGTGTTAAATATATCACAGAGGCAATTAGTAATTGATCTGAAGACAATTATAATATTTTGGATTCTAATCATCATTTAAATTAGCTAAAATATGGGAAAACTATACTATATGCTAATACGTTCTTCTACAAATGAAATCAAAGATTTAATAAATATATCATGCACGCTTTTGTACACATATTCTGTCTTCTTAATAAAGTTATACATTTCATATACCATTTATAAAAAAAAACAGTTTTAAAATCTTTACAAATGTATAGACCTTTCTACAAAAGAGTGTTTCTTCTACTTTTTGACGCATGTACATTTTTAAAAATATTTGGGAATGTATAATTTATTATACGAAATTTTTGCATTGCGTACATGTACAATAATGTTAGTAGTGCTTTTTGTGGTGAATATTTTTTTAGAAAATTGAAACAAAATAAAACATTTTTTTTGTAAAATTCATTTAATAATAAAGTATTGTACGCCCCAAAGTAGTTTTAGTAAAAGATAAAACCAGATTAATGATTAGAAGTATAGTTTTAAAAGAATATATGTTTGCATTACGCAACTAGTTCATGCAGAGCTGTCAATGTCACTTGTCGGTTTTTCTTTTCCTTCTCGACATTCCAAATGTATCATAAAAAGTGTGTACTTAGTGATGCATATCCAACCTGATGACCAAGCTAGGGCGAAAATATATAGTCAACGGCAACAAAGGACAGAATGAGACACATCAAAGTTTGAATTCATTGGGCTCAGATAGCAATTGATAGTGATTTAGCTAATGGTCATTCATAATAAATTATTACATTATATACCGTGTCAAATGTTAGAAACGTTATTTTAAGATCGTCCCTCAAGTTATCACAGTTAACTTAATGCACGTCTGAAACTAGCAATTTCTAAAAACATAGTGAGTTGGATGAACAGTTCTATTTCATTCCTTTTATTTCAATGCATTGTATTACCATGTATATAGCTTGGTTAAAATTAATGTATGTCTATTCTGATTAGAATGAACTTTGTTAATTCACTGTATTTTATATTTTTTCAATGTTCAACATGCCTCCCCAAACTGTGATACGTGTTGAACATGTTGAGATTTACTTATCTAGACACCTCTCTAGCTTAATAATGTGAAATTTTAACTTGATGTTTGTTATCCATTATACTTACCTCAAAATAAGATATTAATTCCTGCTTTATATTTATTATGCAATAAATCTAAACCATGCGTCGCAGCTAGACACGTATGATTGCGCCGAATATGGGGAATTCGAAAACGGCTTTCAACAATTGGTACTTACATGTTGTATCAAAAGTTGTAATCTACTTTAATGTCTCGATCTAAATTCGTTGTCGTTAGACATCCCACACACACATCACCACGTACAAGGGGAAAGCTATTCCACTACGTACCGCTGCCACACCCACTTAGGTTATCACCCTGAGAAGCCTCCAAGGAAATGGTTTTTAAGACTCCCGTTCAGCATTGAAGTGATCTTACTTTGATTGATTGAACTAGACATATCATTAGAAGGATTACAGACTGTTAAGTTAAGACTTAACGGTTTGATCACGTACCACTCTAATACACAGCAAAGCGATTATTTTGATGAGTGCAAGGTCATGCGGGAAGCCAACGTACATAACATAATAGTACATATATTAAATGGTATGAGAGTTGTTTTTCATATTCAAGGCTGTCATAGATTATATTTCAAAACTTGTTAATAAATAAGTTCATTTAATTCATGAAATTGTGTTATGAAGTCTCTGTTATAAAGGTTTTAATGAATATAATAATTATGTCCCCTAGTGCTTGAATTCGATACATAACATAAACGCGATAAAGTGTGCCTCACATACGAGAGTATTTTCCATAACCAAAGAATCATAGTTATTTTACCATCAAATGGATTGTACGGATGGTTTGATGGGTATCATTATTGTGGACAATGACAGTGATTTTTCTAGGGGAGGGGAAAGTTGGTTGGGGTATATTATGTCTTTTATTGTAATAATGATGATAGTTAAATTTCTAAACTATGAACCTGAGACATAAGAACGCATACCTTCTTCTTCTTATATATCTTAAGGGCCCACGATCAATTTATTGATCATTTTGGCTCCTATGCATGTAGATGGGATTTGCAATGTTTCTGTTACTGGTGTTGATGAGGAAATCATGCACTAGGGGTTTGAAGGCTTGAGGCAATAGACACAAATAGTCTAGTGTTGTCGCCTCAACCGTTCCTTTTGAAAGATGGTTCCAGTCCCTGATTGTCTTGGGCAGGAATGAGCAGCTCCTATACTGGCTTCTTGCTGGTATGAGCCTGAATTGCCTGTCAAAGCCTCGTCGCTGTCTATGAGGGAGAGGGACGAGTTTTTGTCTAATACTGGAACAGTGGACCAGCCCATTATTTATCTTGTACATCATGGAGAGCCTGGATTGTCGTCGTCGTTTCTCTAATGGTGACTAGCCTAGTGTTTCTAGCATGCTGCCAACTCTAGAGGTATTCCTGTAGCGGTTTAGGACAAAGTGTGCTGCTCGTCGCTGGACCGCCTCCAACCTGTCAATGCACGTCTGGGTAAATGGGTCCCAGACTGAAGATGCATAATCTAAAACCGGACGGATAAAGGCTTTATATGCTCTTTCTTTCACACAGGAGTTGCCAATCTTTAGATTTCTCCTTAAGAACCCTAGGGTCTTGTTTGCTTGGTTACATACATTGTTAATATGCTCGTCCCAGCGGACAAACTTTTTGAATTGTAACACCCAGGTACTTTACGGAGGAAACTTGCTCAAGTATATGGCCGTGCAGTTCGTATTGCAATAGTGTAGAGGAGTACAACTTCTAGAGATTAATAGCGTCTGGCACTTGGCAGGGTGAAATTCCATGTCCCAGCTCATCTCCCACTCAGCTAACAGATTGAGATCCTGTTGTAGCTGGTCCTGGTCAGATCTGTTTGCGATCGTCATATACACTACTGTGTCATCTGCGAACAGTCTTGCCTGTAATGTCAGTTTCTCGGGTAGGTCATTAATGTATGCTAGGAACAAACAGGGGCCCAGGACTGATCCCTGGGGGACCCCTGACTTTACTTCGACAAAGGAGGAGTTTGTACAGCCCACCACTACTGCTTTGCGTCGGTGGCTGAGGAAGCTAGAGATCAATGTTTTAGTGGTGCCTTGAATCCCATATCTCTGGAGTTTGTGTAGAAGCAAACTATGATTTACACGGTAAAATGCTTTTGCGAAGTCCATTACTAGCACGTCAGTCTGCTTGTTGTTCTTCAGATTGGCCATCAAGTCTGCTACAAATTCGAGAAGCTGGGTCTCACATGACCTATTGACTCGGAAGCCATGTTGATAGTCATTGAGTATATTTTGGCTTTCAAGATGCTTCATGACTGAACTCCGGTAAATTATCAGCCCTACATAAGCATACGATTTTTGTTATGCAGTCACCTGATTCATAAAAAAATACCCATTCATAAACAACATCACCATCATACGTAATACTTTTTTGTTATTCTTAGACTCCATTATATCATGTAGGGGCTTTTTCTGAAAAGGAAGTAAAAATATTGAACGGAAAAGCCTGCATTGCTCTAGTACATCGTTTATACACGTAATAAAATCAACAAGCGTTTCACCTCTATTCTATAGACGCTTATCGCATAGTATAAATAACTTGAAATCAGGTCCGCGAATTCCTGTCCAGAATCAAGCGCTTGGAGTTAGGTCTTCTACTGTTTCATTGGCTTTCAAAATACAAATGTTGAAATGATGTATTTTTGACATTATGTTTTATAATGCAGTGTAAACTAATGGAGATAATACCAACATTTATAAGTATGCTGTTGTTTTATTTGTCAAGTGACCGTTCTTTTATCAAAGGTTAGTTCCCCTATGACACTCTATTAAATTAACAAAGATTTTTTTTTTTTTTTAAGGGACTTTTTTTGCACACTTGTTTATCTTAGGTAATAATATTTATGTTTACAAATTATAAAATGATAAATAGCATAATTTTATTTCTTATTCTAGTATATACTTTGTATTTATATATATATGTGTTTATATACATATATATATATATATATATATATATATATATATATATATATATATAAAATATTTTTTTAAAGAAAAGCCACATTAAATTAAAGAAATGAAATTAAATCATTTTTTAGTTGTTTTTGTGTTTATATTAATTAATAATATTTATGTTTACAAATTATAAAATGATATATAGCATAATTTTATTTTTTATTATAGTATATATTTTGTATTTATATATATATGTGTTTATATACATATATATATATATATATATATATATATATATATATATAAATATATAAAATATTTTTTTAAAGAAAAGCCCCATTAAATTAAAGAAATGAAATTAAATCAATTTTTAGTTGCTTTTGTGTATCCCCATAGAACAATATAGACATTTCTGGAATATTCTAGAGTAAATGTAATCAGTGGCGTAGCGAGGGGGGTTAGGGGGGTGTGGACCGCACCGGGTGACACCGTGTTATTGAAAAAATTCACATTTACAGAGCACACACGGCTCGGTCTAGCCGAGATTCATAAAAGGATAACCAATCACACATACGTTTTCCACAAATGTAACCAATCCAAATGCGTGCTTTATTAAAAGTTCAAGGTTGATGCTTCAGAAATGAAATGACTCTATGTTTAGGTTAAAAAAAACACAATCTTTATTACACGCCGATGTAAGTGTTCGGTATTTTCAATATGTGACAAGAGGCTATATTTATCAAAATTCAGAGAAATATGGCTTTCCATTGATACCAAATAGGATTTGGTCGGCCAATTCTAAGTATAAGAATCGGTAAAAACGTTAAAAATGATTTTTTACCCATTTATAGGGTGAAAAATATATTATTGTGCACAATTTTCAATCTTTTAATGATTAATTCTTATTTATATTTAAATTTAAATAAAGAAACGTTTTTGGAAGACTTATAAAATATTATAATATCGAGACCCAAATATACTCAAAAATTACTATTTACCCCGATTCGTCACTAATATCGCCCTTAGCATTTTAGAACCCTTGTCATATTTCTACTGCTGGGTTCTACCTGCTACCTTCATGTGTTGTATTTTGGACGGTACTCTGACTGTTGTTTTAAACTGTCGTCAGTAATAATTTTTTTTGGTGTTTAGAAATGACAAAATTAAAGCATTTTTTGTGTGTTCAAGATCATTATATCATGCCACATGGCGGGCACAAATCTAAACGGCCCAGTGGCTCTCGGCAGTTAAAAAGAAAATACGCGACTGATTTAAATCACTACCAGAATACTTGCTTCGATATCAAGAAACCAAATGATGACAAGGGTCAGGGTTCATCCAGAGACTTTCCTCAGCCAACCATTGATACTGGTTCTCCCGATACTAGTAGCAGGCATTCTTTTCAGCAAATAGTGGGGAAAATGGAAGAGATTGACGTGAAAACACAAGTAAAAGACATGGATGGTTTGGAAAAAGAAATGTCAGCTGATAATTTTGATTCAAACCAAGATACTGTACGTGTTAAGGTTAATGACAAAAACTAGAACATTTTAATCAGATGCTTCTCTCTAGAATGTACTAGTGCCATATTATTTTCGGTCTGAAATTATTAAAATATGGAGCACTTTGTTTCAAAACAATGATGGACTATTCAGCGTAGTGACAAGGCAACATGCGAAATCTAAAGGAGGTATTCATCAACTAACAAAACAATGGATCTACGGGATGCTGCAAGATGGCGAGAAATTACTGCAGTCGTGGATGGTTTATTCACTCGTCAGTCAAAAATTGTATTGTTTTTGCTGCAAATTGTTTGCTGTTAACGTTACAGAAACAACATCCAAATTTTTTACTGGCTTTGATAAGTGATGGAAACTGAGCCCAAAATTACAAAATCATGAGGCATCGGAAGAGAACCTACGTTGCCTTAAAAAAGTGCAAACTATTGGCAGCAGGACTTAGGATACACAAAATAATTGATGCCGAAAGTATTTCTGTGATGGACAGGAAGAAGAAAAAGTGGAGGGATATCTTACACAGGTTGCTTGATATCACATTGTTTCTTCCAAAGCAAAGTCTGTCATTTCGTGTCCAGAACGAAGATGAATCTGAATGAAACTTTCTTGAAATGGTTGAGATGCTATCTAAATATTACCCAGTGGTAAAAAAGCACCCAATGAGTCTAAAGAGCAGCAAATCTACAGAAAAAGCATCCGCATCTTATCTTTCACCAGACACCCAAAATAATTTTTTTATAAATTACCGTGCAAATCATTTGAATTAGATTCTTATAATGGATATGTAGTCTGCGAGGTAATTTAGAATTATGTTCGAAAGTACACCTGATATATCACACAGTGACCAGATTTCTGAAGTGATCAGAAATGTAAAAAATCCACAATGGGAAAGTTGAAGTGAGAGAAGTGTTTCCTACCCTTTTCCCGTTAAGAGGGAAGACGCACTTTTAAAAGAAATACCAATGCGTAGGAGTCATATAAAGGCAGCTGATATTGAATTGCACAAAGCCATGGACTGGTCAGTATTTGATGTTTTGAAATTCATATCTGAATGGTTCCTAGAATATCTTCCAATACTCTCGCTATGCCCTGAGAGCGGAGCTTTTCAAAACAAAGGCTTATCAAGAAATATTTATGATCCACCATGGGACAGTCTATGCTTTCTGATGTGGCTCTGCTATCAATTGAAATTTATACAATGAAGGACATTGATTATTATTCAGTGATTGACAGGTTTGCAGCTTTGAAGACCAGAAATAGGAAATTTTAAATACAGTAAATTTAATGTAAAAATAACGATAACTTAACGTTGTTACAGTTTTTAAATACATTCATGACACCAAGACCTTCGATTTATGTGTTTTTATTCTTGTCATTGTTATACTGTGGATTTATTTTAACAAGAAGAAATCCATCATGGAAGTTGGGGGGGGGGGAATGACACCATGAATTTACCACACTAGGTGACACCAACCTCAGTTACGCCACTGAATATAATATCCTCCTCGAAACGTGTAAAATATTACATTTCTACGTAATTATTATTTAAATACGAAAAAAACTATACAAATAAATGTATTAATTTAACTATCGCATATTTAAGTTGACGAGGGCCCAATAATACCCATTCCATAAGTGTATCCATTTAGATTAGCCCGAGATAGGGGGCCGTATAAAAATCAGTCAGATACAATTTAAAACGTGTCGCATTAGAATAGGTTTAAAATGACTTTTTAATTAATCGAGCTTTCTGAAAAAACTGTAGAACGGCCCTGAATTGATAGGATATTATTAGTTTTTATCCAACTATATTTCCATAAGGACTTTGAAGCGTAGCACTGTAAAGCTAGGCTTAGATCCTTAATTCAAATAGAACAAATATTTTGTCTAATCCTATTAATATTGATAGAGTTTATGAAAAAATTTAGTGGAAGGCCGAGGAGAATGGATATTATGAGTTCATTATATTTCAGTATTAAAGTATGGATACTCAGATGTATCTGTACTTCTACTAAGTTTAGACAAAGTCCATCTATTCATGAAGGGGTATTTGTTGTTAAATTTTCTTTTTTTATAGCTCATATAAGAAAATTAAATGGAATCGGGGCCTTTTGCCCCACATGTACTGTTATAAAATGTTCATAACCCCAAATATTTCCTTTTGGATAATAATGGATATATGTGTCAAGTTTGGTCAAGATCCATGTTTAAACATAAAAGCATTTGAACGTATATATATATATATATATATATATATATATATATATATATATATATATATTATTGTTCGTCCGTCGATGATCGACGATGACCATCGTGTCGTCCGGTGACTGATGACTTGAGGCGGTGACTTTTGTTTAAAGTTAGGAAGAGTTGCGTGGCGTCTACCTCACTCTCTCGTCCTGGCCCACCATGTCCAATTGCAAGACCCTACGTCAAGACGACCAGGGATGGGTACGGTTGCAGGAATTGTGATTGTATGCGCCTTAGGGGTCTCCACTCCGGGTTTTGAATTCAGAGTTTCCTTCTCTTAGATGAGTTGCCGACCAAGGTTAACGATTCTCATCCAAACGGGGTGATGTTTTTGCTTTGACTGGAATTGAAGTCCAGACAGCCAACTTCAGGTTTGCTCAGTTTAGACCATTCGGCAATCCAGTCACTATATATATGCCCGAGATTGAATTCGAAAAACAACATCTTCTTTCTTCTTTTTATTTATCGTGAAATTAAGCACAATGTACAAACAGAAAACAAAATCCCTATAATAAAAAAAAAATAATAATATTTCGTTTTCTCCAATAAAAACGCATTATAACGTTGTAAAACTCCAATTTCCCGATGGAATCCTAATACTGGAGGGATACTCCTCGGATCCTATGTAACGTTGGGTTCACTTTTTCCGATGGTATCCGGGTACCTGGAAGATTTCGGCACGGCATGGATCCCAATTTTCGGAGAGATCCAGATGCCAGTGGGTACCTGATCCCGTTGGTATCTCGATCAAAGTGGGAAGAATTTCATGATACATCCCCATTCCGGCTTAATCTTGTTAAGTTTATTAATCCTTTTGGTTCCCGATCTCTGTGGGTTTCCGATCACCTCGGTTTCTCGATTACTTTTCACAGCAGGATCCCAATCCTGGTTTGATACCAATCCGCTGTTATCCCAATTTTATCTCTGTGTGATCCAGATTCCAGGTGGGGTCCACTTTTCTGGTGGTGTCTCTATCCCGTATCCTTTGTATCTAGTTTCCTATTGAGGTTCGATCCCGGTTGTATCCCGTTTTCAGGTGGGATCCCGTTAGGATCATCTTATCCTTGGGATCTCGTTTCCTGAAAAGATCGTGATATGGGTTTGATCCCGTTAACCGATAGGATCAGGTTACTGTTTATACTCGTTCACTAACTCGGTTCCTGTTCCTCTGTGGATTATGTCCCAGGTGGGATTTTCTTCCAGGTAGGTTTATGAAGGGTGTCTCTTGAGAAAAGCCCATACAACTATGGAAATAATAACACTAAAGTAACAATAAGCTTTTTTATCCCCTTATAAATCCCCGTAGAGCAATATGAACTTTCATGAACATTCTAGAGTAATTTTAATATCCTCCCCGAAACGTGTAAAATATAACTTTTTCTACATGATTATTTTACTAATACAAAGTATATGCAGCGAAATGCATTACTATAAGTATAGTGCATTTAAGTTGAAATAAGGGCTTCAAAGGACGCCCAATGCATTTTTTATCCATTGAGTTTTGCCTGAGATAAAGGGCCCTTATAAAATCAGTCAGATAAATAATCCACATACATATATATATATATATAAATCAATAAAAGTTGTCCCATAAAATCGGTTTTTAAATGCCATAGATAAAGCCTTTTTAAATATAAAATTTCCTAGAAAAGTCTAGACTTGCCCTGATTGGATAGGATGTTATTAGTTTTAAATCCACCGATATTTCAATACGTACAATGAAGTGTGCTGTCACCAAGTTGGGCCTATAGCAATCAATGCACATGGGACTTATGTGCTGTCTTAGCCTATTGATATTGATATAGCTTATATAAAGGAAAATTAAATGGGGCCTCCCGGCCTCAGATGGAATGGATATCATGAGTTCATTGCCCTTCGGTATTTAAAAAGTGCATGTGTACTTTTTTTGGTCAAGCTTCATCTATTCTTGTAGGAATATTTGTTGCTAATTCTATTTATGTAGCCCAGATGAGGGGAAAAAAAACGACTTCCGGGACCCCGTCCCAAACGGAATGTTGTAAAAAATTGATAACACTCACAAGATCCTTTCGGATAATGATGGATATATGTATATGTACAAAGTTTCGTCGAGATCGATCAATCCATGTAAAAACGTATGTGAAACAAATAAAACCCGCCACAATGTTTCCCTTACATAGAGTAATAATATATATTGTAATATAAATGATATGATATGTATGATGATAATTGATAATTTATATATATATGTATATATATTATATATATACATGATGACTAAAATTTTCAAAGACATATTGTTCAATGTAAAAAAAAAATATATATAATTTTGGTTTAAGACGTGTAAGGTATTTATTGCATCAATCTCATTGTTATTTTGATTTTTAAAAATAGTTTTAGAAAGTATTATTATTCCATTATATGTGTACACATATTTCTAAGTCAATGTTAAAACTGGATTTTAAAAAAGTTAATTCCATACACAGTTATTTTGTTTTATTAGAATTTTTATTTTTATTGTATTTATAGCTCTGTTTGTCGAGGAAACTTCACATTTCAGACTATCTTGTCCCGAAGTATCTTATACCCAACGGATAGTTGTAAACTATCGAAACAATACTAGTGAAACAATTGCTGTTTTCACGCTCTCGGAATGCAATGTGCCAAGAGGTGATATCAGATGCTTCAAACTAGACAATATTAATGTAGTAGAGATTGAAGTAACCAATCAAACAAGGACTATTGTTTCCTATTCTTGTGGAGCCAGTGCCGTCTCTAACATCACATTTTATGGTGAGTACCCTTTAATGTATGCTGACAGTTACCGCGCATGTTTTAATATATAGTTAGTGTTACATTTGTTTATGCCACTTGTCGAAGCCCAACCCAAGTTATAGGTTTTTATGTCATATATGTATTCTGATTTAAGCTAAGTTAGTTTGTATGTTGTTCTTAGACTTTTGATCTCATCAATCTATAAATACCAATAATCTATAGAAATGAAATTTCAAACTCAACAATCTTAAGTTTTTTATTGGCAGCTTTTTATGCTCAAACTCGTTCCATTCTATTGTAATTTTTTTTAAATTAAAAAGTTACAAATATTGTTAAAATTAAATTTAAAAATAAATACAATCACATGAAAATTGGTTGCATTTAAATGAAAAAAAATTCAAGTGACGCAACTATTAAAAAAAAAAAAGGTTAAAATTTGGTATATGCAATGACATTCATGTTTAAAAGTATAAAAATAAAAATACATATAACAACTCTACACAACTTCTTCTACTTCTATATTCTGAGGGCCCAAGATCAATATATTGATCATTTCTACTCCTATTTATGTAGAGGGTGTTCGCAATGTTTCTGTGCGTGGTATTACAGAGGATATTTCACTGGTTTCAAGCGAAACTCAGCGTGGGTTGTGTGCTCCTGCCGTTAAAACGATACGTGCATTGTAAGAGATTTATAGGAAACATGTTGATTACAGACGGGTATAGATAGCTATAGACTTTAGCTGCAATAAACTACAACTTAAGAGTTATTCATCTAACTAACGCTTAACTGGCCATCTGCAAAATAGAAGCTTTTTGTGCTTTTTTAGTCAGTATTCAATAATAATTTGGGAAAGAATTCAATGTTTGTAAGTGCCGATAAACATAGAAATGTTGATGCATAGATCATTAATAATTTGATAGAGATAATGAACACTAGATCTGCTGTTTTTTTAAATTTTTTTTGTCTGTTGCCTGTTTATAACTTTTAATACACTGGTACATTCTTACTTATTTAAATGTTGTCATGTAATTGGTGAGTACGTCGGATATCGTGATAGTTAAACAGTTTGAGCTGAGTGAGCTCCAGGCCCATATCCTGCACGTAAGTTTGTCAACAATATATTCCGCATCCAAGCTGCATTTTGTTGTTGATGCCAGTGTTGAGCGATGCGGGGGAATGCATTTCTGTTTAATTTTTTTTATTTCTCATACAGCTCGACCAAGCAACGTTTCATGTGGACCACCTGAATTGGATGATTCTGGTACCAAAGTGCTTGTGACATGTACTGTTGGTAAAGTATACCCACAGCCAGGATGTGTCTTCTACGATACAAGAAATGTAATTTATTGATTTCTTTTCATGTATATGTCTTTAATTAAAATTAAAAGTTTTAAGTTATAATTTAAAATGTGAATGCCCCATGTCTCGAAAAAGTTTAGAAACGTGATGAATAATATTGTTTCTTTCATGTCGTATAGGATTTCTACAATGTTTTTTCTTTAAACAATAAATTAGATACAAGAGATTAAAAAAATAGAGAGAAATAGGGAAAAAATTTGAAGATCAATCAGTATAAAGAATGAGCGAGTAAGGGAAAAAAAGAAACATTAAGACAGTTGGTAGTAGAGATGGCTCAATAGAAAGACAAAAAAGTGGTTACTTAATGCTGGGCGTAATTTTAGAGTACTGACCACGCACTCCCACCTCCAAACTTAAAATCTACTAAAGTTACTTGACAAAATACGCATTAAAAAAAAATACACTTTATAATAATAACACTTTTTTCTCCCCAAAACTCTCCTACACACGATTTTATATACGGAAACGCAAACTATCAATATTTAAATAGCCCATCAACTTGCACACCACATATTTATATCACAATATTAAAATTTAATATGTGATCGTAAGAAAAAATATTACGCACCCTACGCTACTTAATAATCTAATTTAGCGCATTAATGGGTCATTTCAATTTGTGCGGCATTTTAAACTGACCATTACACCATAATTTCTTTCATAACTAGAGAATACAACATTATACTAAAAATTCTTAGCTATTTTAAAACATTGTAAATGTGCCGTTCATAGGAAAGCATTGTAGATGGCACAAAGGTACCAGTGAAATACGTGCTGTGGGGGAGTCCAGTATATTACAAGGCTGAATGTGCTGTTCAAATGGAGGTGCCTGAAGAGACTCAAGTGTACCAAGACATACATGTCAATGTGTACCCTGAAATTTTCAACTTCAACGGGGCTATGTACGGCGTTAACTACACCGTTGCCCCGCCTGTAATTATAGGTAATTTATGTCATGATAATTTAATTGTGTACACAGTAAGTTTTGTAAAAGCGTGATTGTGTTATCAAAAAAAATAAAGAAGACATGAATAAGTTGTTTGTTTTTTTGTTTGTTTTTTTTTGGGGGGGGGTAATTAAAAATGTAATTTAAAAAGAAAGCATTTACGTTTCTAAACATTAATAAAACATTACAGTGGAGGAAAAGAAATACACTATGCACGGTCATCAGCTTCGCTATGTCACACATTTTGACAAGTCACGTGGCAAACCGTGACCTCAATATTTATTGTAAATTTTTTTAAAGGAAGTTTTTTTTGTGTTTTTTTTTAAATCAAAGAATAGTTAAATACCCTTTCCATAAAAAATAATTTATTAAATAATTGATGGTATTTTTATAAAAAGTTAATTATCATGTTATGGGAATATAGTGTGGATTTCGATTTTTTTTTTAAATTTTAGTTTTCTAAGTTTCCAATAAAAAATAATCAATCATATTTAATTAATTATAATGAATATATTGACATGTAGGTATTAGATTAACTATGTCATTAATAAAATCTCGAAAAATCAATAATAAGAATGGCAACTATTTGTCCGGACTTAATGCTTCCTGCCATACAGGAATAATAATATATATATATATATTTCGTTTTATTTAAACTAATACTAAAAAAGATATTGGCAGAAGCGACGATGACAAACAATCAAAAATTTCAAACAAAAATATCTCCATATCCTAATATTAATGCATAGACTTATTTTTTTTCAAAAGAGCCATTGAATCTTACAATCGACTCAAGCTGTCCACAAGGAAATAGTGTAAAAGATGGTTATATTAAAGCTTGGACATCGGCTACCTGCGCGTGTCTTAAAACGTCACCCGCCACTGTTCTAGGACGTGCGCTTTGGTATCAAGACAACCAACAGGTGCCGGCAAATGTGACACATTCGTCTTCCTCGGTACTGACAGTGTCGTATCCAAAAGGTAATTTTAATATTTTACGAAAACACGATTCTGGTGAACTCTCGATCGACTTCTCTGAGACTTTCAATTTCTTTTTGAAGCAAAAAGCGTTCTAAAATATCTAATTAAGTATACTATTTTTGTTTGACTAAAGGCTTATTGTAGTTTAATAGACGATACTTGATATATAGTTTACAGACTATATTTATGTAGTTATCTAAATACATTTTGTTGTACGGAAAATCGACAAAGTGCGCAGAACATTAGACAGTTGTGGCTGTTTAGGAGTATGGAAAATAAACATGAGAGAAGCCAAATGGGAATTGGAGATTTATATAATAATTGCCGATCACCATAATGCCCTTCAAAAGTATAGCTGTAAGATCCATTACGTGATCAGCCTCATAAGATGCCCCAGAAGAAGCTACATAATAGTCTCATAAAGTATAGATGTGACATTAACATAAGGATAACTCTTGTAAAACATCCGAGAAGCGATCATTAATCCAGAAAATACGAAATGATCTCATAACACCAATATGAAAATTGGCGATTGAGAGAATTATTTCCAATCCCCATGAGTCAAGAAGCCTCCATCATAATTATAGATGTTACTTCAACACCAGGATCAGCCTTATCAGACATTCGAAAAGCAATCATTAACGCAGAAAGTACGAAATAGTCTCATCGAGACCAGATGCTGCTAAAGAAGAAAAACTGTTTAAATTTATTTTAATACTTACAAATTGATGATACATTTTTTTACGATGTTCCTTACATTATCGTCACTCCATCTACAGACATAGACAAGACCTACCAGTGCAAGGGTTCACCGTTATCTAGTGACCCCAGGGGCATTTCATTTAGTCCAAAGTTTGCTTGTAGGTGCTTGTAAAACTTTAATTTCAATACAAATTGTTGGTCTTAATGTTGTTTGGAAGTTCTTTATAAGGATGTAAAAAAAATAATGATTTTAATGCATTACGGATAAAAAATAGCTGAAATAAACACAATTACTATTTGGCTACAGTTAAATAACTTTACGGAAGCTTATATAAAGTGCGCATAATTGAATGACACACGAACTATAGAGAGTTGAAAACAAGTTCAGGTTTAAGGTAAAACATATATTTGAATTCATACATACATCATTCTTTAAATGTTTCATTGCAGATGGACCTCAAAATATTTTTTCGGATGTAACCCAAATAACTATAGATTTGTGTTCAAAAGAAAGTAAGTCTATACCCATAAATGTTTGGGTCCCAAAACGTGACGTCAGGCCTGACGTCAGAGTAAAAGCAGCCGTTGAACTCACCGTTAAAAGTTCCACCAATAGAAATGAAGCGTATGACGTATCTGTGCGCACTAATGACAACCCTACCTCTCCCAACATAACTTCAACTATTTTCCTGACTGTGACATTCGGTGGGATGTATGTCGTCACTGCTACTTTTCTCAACACAATATACAGCGACTTAAGTGCCGGTACAAACATTAACGTCACAGTAAGAGGTGAGTTATTTTAAATATATATATATATACATATATACTTGAAAATGTGTTATTTGGATTGTATGTTGTTGGTTTTTTTTTTATTTTGCCACGCATGGGTTTCTACATTGAGGGTTCTTGTTTCTATGTCAACATTCAGTTCATTAATTTCAGAGCCTCCAAACCAGCCACCGATTTTTATTATTAATGGAGGAGAATCTATAATAGAAGGAATCACGACATCAAACGTCAATCTCACTTGCTATGCACCTGGCGGTTACCCAGAAGTTAGTGAAATAACGATATCTTGTGTTGGTCGAAGCACTACTATAAGTGGGAACAAACTTACAGCAAAGATGGACTTTGACAAACATGACAACGGCTCAATATGTACCTGCCATGCGACTCACAGCTCTGGTTGTTACAGTAATAATATGGTGGCAGCCATTGTAAACATTACATGTAAGATATTTTGTGCTCTTAAGTAATAAGATATACACACACACTCACAAACATAAAAGATAAATATATATATATATATATATATATATATATATATATCTTTATATATATGTATATATCATTCGCCATCAATAGTCAAACACCACCACCACCATGCATGCTATATGTAGATTTGCTCTTAAGTAATAAGATATACACACACACTCACAAACATAAAAGATAAATATATATATATATATATATATATATATATATATATCTTTATTTATATGTATATATCATTCGCCAGCAAAAGTCAAACACCACCACCACCAAGCAGGCTATATGTAGATACGTCAGAGTGTGGTTCAATAATGAGTTCACTAGCACGCAAAATATATATCCCGATACCTACGCTAAATGATATATATCTATATATTTAATAATGCAATTGCGTTTAGTTCGTAATATTTTCCTTTCGGAAATGAAATCGTCTCAATTTAAGAATTGTGTAAAAAATGTTTCGTTTAAACTTTGTTTGGACATGAGAATATGTTCATTGGCGTGAAAAAAAAAGTGTGCAGTGGCATATCATGATGGGGAAGGGGTGCAGCAAATATTAAGATTCTTAAATGTGCGTTACTTGAGTTCATGTTTTGTCAAGTAACTTTACGAGATGGGAAGTTCACGCCGCCAATGTTTGGCGGGCTCTTTCTATTGTATACATATTTATTTAACAACAATCAATAGTGGGTCCAGTGCAATAGTTAATCTAAATTTTAAAGTTGCCACGTGCCAAGGTAAACAGCTCCTATTATGGGCCCCATTGTATCGATGAAAAATTAATTCTCGTACTTGATCTAAAAATTGATTGTATTTGAAATGTCATAATGTATTGTACTGCGGGGCATTTAGTGCTTCTCCTTACATAAAAAAAAAATTAAAGAGTTAGGGAGTATTTTTCATAAGATAAAAACCATCAGAAAACGATTTTTTGATGATTTTCTGTGCTTGGTTAAAGCAGAGGTGAAAATAAAAATAAAGTACACCATCATCTAAAGCGGTAAGTGAATAAGCAGATCAAATGCCAAAATGTCAAACGTAGAATCAGACACATTTGTTTTCACTCAACCCGAAAGTGGCTAGTGTGTATCATTTTCTGGCATGGGGATGGCAAAATTATTACTGAAGAGGGATTATCGGAAGTCTTACTCTGTCAGTTACACATTGTATTTCATTGTTTGATGTCCTGATAACAGCGTTTCATACACACACACACAGACTCACTAACTTGTCAAGCCTTTAAGTTTGTATTAACGTATCTGCAAAGGTCATACATATATGTATTAGCTTAATTTGTATTTTTCAGACATCGTGAACATAACTTCCTTTACAGCAAATAATCAGACAAAACTTGAAATACAAGAAGGTCAACCTGTGACCTTAAGTTGTTCTGCTGAAAGTTACCCCAAACCTGTCTTTTCTATTGACATGAGTGACGCCAGATCTAATGAAGTCATGCTAATAATATCTGAAACAACTGAGATGGAAGCTAATATTTGGCGCTGCAAATACACATTACCCAGTGTGAAATGCGAAGACGTAAAAAATTACACGTGCAGGGCTACACATATACATTCTAATATTACAGTGGAAAACACTGTATTTCTGAGTGTCAAATGTAAGTGCTATCCAAATGAACAAGTAGTTAAAAGTTAATTAAATAAATTGTTGTTGTTTTTTTATTGCAGGAAAAAGAAACGGACAGAGCAAGGAAAAAAAAATTTAAAAAATCCTTAAAGCATAAAAATGTATTTATAGACATATATATTTTTTTTTTTTTGAAAAGGCAATCAACACTTATTGTACCTTGGAGACGTCAGGACTCATTTCAGTTTAACAAGAATTTTAAAAAAAAGTATCGACTACTACAATTGTGTGGGTTCCATGTCTGTCCTATTTTGGCATTCCTTTCGTAAATGTTGCATATGCCCGGGCTATTTTTAAGTCAAGTTAGCAAACTTTCCCCAGCACCTTAGTTGTATTTCTATGTCTGTCGATAAGCCATAGACAATACGCACGCATCTGCAGTGCTCGTTAAACACACGTTTGTATACCTCAAGGCTTTTATGCAAAACATGTGAATGCCAATAATTATTATGTTTTACTTTCAAATAATGGAAACATCATTGCTGATAATGTATAAATTAAACATTAAATTATATATATTATTTATTTTAATATTTAGGTCCTTTTCGTGTTACCAACTCTTCAATGGTTCAGCAACAAGTTGGTGTAGACTTGGGGCAGGACTTGGTGCTTACAGTGGACGTATTGGGTAATCCACCACCTTCCACATATGAGCTTCTGAGAGGATTAAACAAGTATCCAGTAGAAAACGGATCATTTCATGTGGGATTCACTCCACTAAATCATCCTTACGGGATTTTGAAACTGACATTGTTTAATGTTCAAAGAGAAGACATGACATTGTTTTCTCTGGTCGTTGATAATGGCATGCTGGAAAACATGACATACAGTTTCCTTGTTTTTGAAAGTAATATTTGTTGTTCCTACGTTTAGTATTATATACATATAACATATATAACTTTAAAAAAAATGTTTTCTCCAAAAGTAAAAAACAGATATTTCGACAGTAAAACCTGTTCATTATTGATTAAGAAAGATATAACAATAAAAATTTAATAAAACAACAGTAGAACTTTGTTGTTGTTATACATATTATTTTTACAATGAAATCTTGTTTTACTGTATATGCCTCTTTAACAAACATTTTGTTTAGACACAGGAAATCAGGGCCCGGATGTTGCTGCAATTGTCGGAGGTGTTCTAGGTGGCGTTATTTTCATAATAATGGTCATCATTGGATTGTTCATGTACAGAAACAGTAAGTTTTATTATTTTTAGTAAGATGTATTACATTAGTTTGTTTAAAAGCAATGGCAAACCATGCATTACGTGTAAAATTTAGAGATGCATTAGAATTAGCAAGAATAATAGTATTGTTGTAAGTTTTGCATATGATTAAACAAAGCTATAACAATCAGCAGCCTCTGATCTAGGTAACCAATATGAAATAAATACCACAAGGAAAGCGAAAATCCTTAACTTTGTGATGGTTGTTGTTGTTTTTTGAATGGTTAAATACTTTATATAACTGCGCTTTCGTGTTTACTGCAAAGTCTTCGGAAAGCTAATAAAACATGTAATCGTCAACACATCGAACTGAAACTTTGCACATAGTCTCGTTGGAGATGACAACACCAGCTATAACATTTTCAGCACCAACCCTAATCCCCAATACATCAAATTTCTTTTTTTTTGTAAAGGACGATGAAGTAAATATGATGACTCTGATTTAATGCACTAAAGGAAATTATTTCTACCTTTAAAAAAAAAAATAATTGCATTTTGGTTTTGTGCGCCATATTATTATTATTTTTTTTTTTTTTTTTTTTTTTTTTTTTGTTGCTCACATAAATATGCGTCTTAAAAGCGTATGTGACATTAGAATATTACTTAAAATCAAACAATAAAAATGCATATAAGGAATTAATGTGAAAACGTTGTTTTTAAGGGTTGCTAATTTTGAATTTACAGCACAAGTGAATGTATTCTTATTTAGTTTGAAACATAAAAAAAAACCAACAAAAAAAACCATTTCGATCACATTATTCTGTTTTTAAAGATTGTTGCTGTTATTGTTGTTCGTCCATGGAAGTCGACTAGAACCATCGAGTCATCCGGTTATGGGGAGGGTGGGTTACTGTGAGCTCGTAGGTGGCTTGCTAGACCGATCCATGTTCGGAAAAATCTCTGTCACCGCGGGCAGGAGATGGTTGCTGCAGACGGTGACCTAATGTTGCTCTTTCGGCAAGCCTGCATGTTTCAGCTGTGGTTATCCTATTAGCTTCATGGGAGTTAGCCCCCTTTTTGACAGCTGCTCTCCACCTGGCTCTGTCCTGGGCAGTCTGCACCCATAGAGGAGGGTTGATGGTGAAGGCCTTTAGTGTCACTTTCAGTGAGTCTTTGTAACGCTTTTTTTTGTTTACCTCCTTGAGAGCGCTTGCGTATCGTGAGTTTTCCGGAGAATATCTGTTTTGGGAGCCGATGGTCTTCCATACAGGCTACGGGTCCCATCCAACGGAGCTGAGACTGCATCAGAGTGGTGGAGATACTACGAAAGGTTCGCTCTAGCGAGGACCTCTGTGTCAGGGACTTTCTCTTGCCACCTGATGCCGAAGACTTTCCTGAGGCAGGTTGTGTAACAATGATTCAGTTTCTTGGCATAACGCGGGTAGACTTGTCTACGTTTCACATCCGTAGAACAATGTCGATAGGACTGTTGCGCTATAGACCTTTATCTTCATTTCACGTCTGATACCTCTCCTCTCCCAAACAGTACTGTTGAAGGCTATATGTCGACACTATTTCAAGTTTTCCCACCCCTTTTTTATGACTTATTAATAAATGCAGCAATATACTACACTTGCAATATCTTCATTTATGAATTTAACAAAATAAACAATGGTGATATCTTACATATAAAAAAGTATATCTGTTCATCGTGTAGGATAAGTGAAAAAGCCAGGTGCTTGAACAACTTATTGTTAATAACTAACTGCACCTTCACGATTAAATGAAATACATAATTGGAGCCGAAGACGCCTTTGTCAATAATTATTCATAGTCATTCAATGGTTCAGGTTGATTGTAACAGTTTAAAATAATATAAAATATAAGAGTATGACGATATAGAAATGCTAAATTTTAATTATTTGGAAGTCAATTTGTTCTAAAATGTTTATTCTAATGGTGATGTCTTATTGGTGTCAAGTTGCATTTTATTAGAAAAAAAATGATATAAGGAAAAAAATATTAATTAAATTGAAATGATAAGAATACGTATATTTAACACATTTTTTTTATAACAACAACATTATTTTATCTTCCACAGGATGTCGGAAACCACGAACTCAGTAAGTTTCATAAGTATAACTTCTTTTTAAAGAAAGCTATTTAATATTCAGTATTCTTTAATTTGCAAACGAAGAAAAAGAAAAAAAAAACATGATTACCTTCTTTTCTTATTTGGATTTAAAGCTGTAACATTTTTAATTTTAAATACTTTATTAAGTAAACGCATGTCAAATAGTCTTTAATTTGTCATCTCAAAATTTAAAAAATTTAAATTATTCATCCATTCAAAAAACACTTAGTATATAATATACTTATCAGATCTTTATGTAACTAGATATAACCGTAAGTTTAAAAGAGATAACATGTTTAAACTCAAAATATAAAACAAGAAACATATATTCCAACGTCGTTCGTATTTTTTTTTTGACCCTACAATGAATTTTTTTTTTTTAAGAATAAAGAAAATTATAACAATAAAAAAAAGGTAAAATAATGGAACACAATTCTCACGATCGGAGATTTAAAAAAAGAAAAGTGCGGGAAAAAATAAAATGCTTATTTTCATACTGTTAAGTTTGACAACATCACAATTAAATGAACGTTGTTTACCCACGTATTCCCTTGCCTTTAAGGTGATCCCATAACCTCACTTAACTGAAAATCTTCCTTTTAGCTCATTTCCTTCAATCTTCGACCCTCACTTCCCTAAAATGTCTTTCACCAAATCGCCTACCTATAAAGTTCTTTCCACTAATTACATTCCAGAATATTATTCCATAAAAAAAGTTGATAAAATTTTTCTATCAGCTAACTTCCTAAAAAAGTTAACCCACCTATCCTTCTTACCCAAAAATCCCTTCAATAAAATCGTAAATTAAATGACGTCTATTAAAATCTTTCATCAAATCACTTCCATTAAAATATTACATCGAAATTGTACATCAAATTAAGTCCATTAAAATAGTACATCAAATCACATACATTCAAATCTTACATCGAAATTGTACATCAAATCACGTCCATTAAAATATTACATCAAATCACATACATTCAAATCTTACATCGAAATTGTACATCAAATCACGTCCATTAAAAGATTACATCAAATCACATACATTCAAATCTTACATCGAAATTGTACATCAAATCACTTCCATTAAAATATTACATCAAATCACATACATTCAAATCTTACATCGAAATTGTAAATCAAATCACGTCCATTAAAATATTACATCGAAATTGTACATCAAATTACGTCCATTAAAATAGTACATCAAATCACATACATTCAAATCTTACATCGAAATTGTACATCAAATCACGTCCATTAAAATATTACATCAAATCACATACATTCAAATCTTACATCGAAATTGTACATCAAATCACGTCCATTAAAATATTACATCAAATCACATACATTCAAATCTTACATCGAAATTGTACATCAAATCACTTCCATTAAATATTACATCAAATCACATACATTCAAATCTTACATCGAAATTGTACATCAAATCACGTCCATTAAAATATTACATCAAATCACATACATTCAAATCTTACATCGAAATTGTACATCAAATCACGTCCATTAAAGTTCGTACATCAAATAACGTCAATTAAAGTCTTACATCAAATCACACCCATTTAGAGTTCTTAAATTAAATAACTTCCATTAAAATCTAACATCAAATACTTCCATTAAAATTTAACATCAAATCACACCCATTAAAATCTAAAATCAAGTCACTTCCATTAAAGTTCTTACATTAAATCACTTCCATTAAAATCTAACATCAAATCACTACCATTAAAGTTCTTACATTAAATCACTTCCATTAAAATCTAACATCAAATAACTTCCATTAAAATCTAAAATCAAATCACTTCCATTAAAATCTAACATCAAATCACTTCCATTAAAGTTCTTACATTAAATCAAGTCCATGAAAATCTTTATTTAAATCATGCCCATTAAAGTCCTTACATTAAATATCTTCCATTTACATCTTACATAAAAATAACTATCCTCCTTTAATTATTTCACTTACATTGCTTTGTCCAACCCACTTCTCTTTACAGTTCTTCCCTAAAATCATTTCCTTAAAAAGATCCACTCACTACCTTAAAAGTCCTTCCCTCAAATTCTTCCTTAAAATCATTCCATACAATACTTTAACAAAAAGACTTCCCCTCAAATACCATACCCCTATGGTCCTCTCCTCAACTCACACTTTTCTTAAATGCCCTCTCTCAACTCACTTCCAAAGTAAAAAGTATAGCTTCACTTCACTATCACAAATTCCTCATCTCGATAACTTTGCTATAATTCTTTATCAAACTCTCATCCTTAAAAGGGCTTCTCTTATTTCATTTTCTAAAAGACTTTTTTTCATTTACAGTAAGTCGTTCACTCAAATCCCTTTCCTAAAAATCAAACCATCAGCTCCCTTCCCTAATAGTCATTTCATCACCTCCTTTCCTTGAAAATCCTATAATTAACAGCCTTCCCCAAAAGTCCTAACATCAACTCAGTTTACGAAATAATATTACCTCAACTTTTTCCCCAAAACTCCTTTCAACTGGCTTCCCTAAATGTTCTTCTATAAACTATCTTCAATAAGTCCTCCCCAACTCCTTTCCTTAAATGTTTTACCCTAAATATATGTCATGATTCGTCGTCAAAAATGTAATTTTTGTATGAACATTGTTTCCAAAAAGTAAAAACTTTTTTTTTATATATCTACTAGCGAATACCAGGGATGCGTTGCAATGCATCTGAAATAAAGTGTTTGCAATTGAATTGTTTTTCTTGGAGAGCTTTAAAATAAGCAATGTTGTTGGTTTTTTTTGTCTGGTGCATACACAAATAAATGTAAAGGTTTTCCAAAGCGAGAGAGGGAAACATATATTTGTCCATGGGAGAAGCATGTGGTTTCCAAATTTAGTCCGAAAAACTTGCAGCGATTGTCCCTGTGCTG